TGGTTGTGATTGAATCATGTGTTTTTAAAATGATGTGACACCAAAGAATATCACAGTTTTGACAACATTTGATGTTAATTGATTTTTTCTGCCGAATTTGGAAAATCTCTTTGCTTCCTCATTTGTAAGTTTGTTTGTAATGTCCAACCGAATCAGGAATACGTCCATGAGACTTGTTATAACTTGTAAAGGCTTGCTTGCTTACCTGTTGTAAATAAATAAATAAATAAACTCAAATTTAATTTAGAATTCAAATATGCAATTCGAAATATGGCGTTTTTTTTTGAATGTGGGTAATCTTGTGATTGGTTGATCAATATTTTTGTTTCACATTGCCAAATATTTTTAAAAATATTATTTTTTTCGAATCAATTTAAATTAAAGTTGAACTATATTATGAATTGGAAGTCTGCGAATGTTTGTGAGGTCATGAAATACTTGTTTATTCTGAATTACTGGGCCATTACATGTTGCTTTTATTGAATTAGTAGTAAGTCTTCTATATTCAATTTTAGGATCATTTTACACAAGGGCCAGTATTTTTTTTTACCTATACCTTTGGTCATTTTAATAATAAAGAAATAAGAAGATTTAGTTAAAAGATTATTTTATTCATGTTAAATTGTTGTTGATTGTGATCATTTGAGTTGTTTTGAACAAAATTTAAAGCAATCTTTTCAACTATTAAAAGTCCCAAAGTAAATTCCGCTTAGGAAAAACTATTTTCTGCTCAGAAAAGAACTATATTATTAGTATCACCACACAAAATTTGAGGTGATGTAAATAAGTGGTGATGGTATACCATATTTCTAAGTGGGTACTTTTTCGATTTTTACAATACTCTTCACATATAAATTGTTGATCATCTCTGTTGTTTTGAATAAGCTTGATCAACAAATAAATATACAAAAATAGATTTTTAATTATGTTGGGGGATAACACAGCTAGCTATTAGATTAAACATATAAAAAAACAACCGGTAATCAATCTCGAAGCTCTATTAACAATCTTTCTTCCTTTGACTTTTACTAAATTTGGCAAGCTTGACCCCCAAATTTGAATTGTGTTATCAAATATTTTTAAAAAAGTTTTTAACCTTTTTATATATGAATCATAATGTGACCTATTGTGTCAAAAAAACAAATTCGTTCCAATTTTAGATTGACATGCGTAAAAATATTGACACGTTTACTTTTCTTTTTAAAATAATAATATTAAAAAAAAAAAACCTGATACACAATAATAAAATATAGCAAATTAAGAAAGATCATCGAACGACAATCATTATTAAGAGCAGGAATAACCGTATTTCATCACCAAGAAATAATGGTAATAATAATAATATTGTGTTGTTTTGATAATCTAAGAGGATAAAATCCCATTTTCGTTGTTAAAGAAAATTGATTGACAGACAGGTTTTGTTTCTCCATCCAACTCACATACGGAAAAGGCCAAGTCTCAAACCCAAAACCCAAAACTCAATAGTGTCAAACCTGTCCCAAATCTCAAATCTTAAAAGTGTCGAAGCTGTCCCAAGTCCTCAATTATTATTTTCAATCGTAAACAAGTCTTTTAAAATGTTTATGATATTATTTTATTCAGGCATATTTTTCCACCAGACGTTCTAAGCGCTTTGTATTTAATATAGAACTAGAAAGAAATTCAACTAAAGTATAAAAAATTTTTCTTGATCCACAAGAATTCCACTCTCTAAGTAGATTAGCTCTTGGTCATGTGGTTCAACTAAGCCAACGCCTTATCATTTAAATCGTATTCTCATTTCAGCAGATGGCATATGAAATTAGTTTTAAAGAAGATGTGATAATTTCTTTATCTTTGTATAAAAACCTCTGCTCTTAAAATCAGATTTTACCCTAATTCAGATCATATTAATATGCCTACCTAACATATAATAAATGTTGCTACAAATCCCAATGTTTGCGTGATAATTATATCAATAAAGAAAATTTAATGATCTTCTGATTTCAAATGTGTTTTTGACACTGGTTAAAAAAAAAAGAAAAAAAAAATAGACTTGGGTTAAACATACAATGAACGATGTACAGTTTTAGTTAATAAAAAGTCAAACTTTTGATAAATCTGCATGTACAACATCTTAACAAACGCTTTAACCACTGTTAAACCTTTTTTTTTTTTTTTTGCCAGAGTGATACTCTTTATAGTAAGTATTAGAGAAGCTGCCTATTTATAAATTTAGATAATTGTTATCATCCCTCAAATATATTAATTAAATCAAGTGAAAAAAAATATATCTGAATTAAAATACGACTGTCTTCTTACCATGGATTATCTCGGTGAGTTATATATATTACTTGTATACCTAAACAGCTTACTAATACCATTTATCATATGCGTACCCGCGCAAATTACATGGGAGTTGCGTGGGAGTTATAATATATACAACTCCCATGTAACTGTGCAGGGTATACATATGATAAAAATGTGACTGCTTGCTAGTTTTCCTGATGGCTGATTTATGTCCAAAATCTTTAAATTTCCAATAGTTGAAAAGAATAAAGATGCTCGTGTCATTTCTGAGTGAGAATGTTTCATGAGAAGACGGACATGAGTGGATTATATATCGTTTATGCTTGCATCATAATAGAATTACAAAGTGAAAGAAATTCCATTCATGGTAAAGAAAATAAATGTAAAAATGTAAACATGCTCTCTCCGCATTCACAAGAAAAATTTTGTAATTTTTGTCATCTCGGAAATTTGCAAAATGGTTATGCTGCAAGAACCACCATGTTATTTTTACTTTTTTGAATTTTTAATTCATTCCTTTTTTACTTCATAAAATCTGTGAACATTTCGGCGTAAGATGCACTGAAGGTTACACTAGTAAAACGTGTTGTGAGCGCATCAAACACCCGAGTTTCTCGAAGAACTTTAGATGTATGTGTGTATGTATATATGTATAGGTATGTACACTTTTCAATTACTACAGCCCGTAATATACCTTCAGAGTATATTACGGAAACACAACAAGAGTCACTCATGATGTTATATCTAAAACACCCTAGAATGTATGAGAGTTGTAATTGGGAATCAAGTTCATTATAAGAGGTTTGGTGGTATTTATTTAATTTTGTGTAATAAAAATTGTGATACACACAAAATTACATCCACTCGTTTTCAACATATTTAATTAATAATAAATAATAATTGCAGAGGAATTTTTCAATTAATCTTAATTTTTGAAAAATAACAAGCCGGGAAAAATATTTGCCAATTAGTTGAATTTTATTTAATTTAGAAAAAAACAATAAGATTTAATTTAAATTTATCCGATTACCAACAAAATTATTGAACAACAACAACAACAACAACAACAACAACATAACCACAACCACCATATCAACTAAACAATTATAGCCGTGAAAGCATATATTCGGCTTTTGGACGGCCAGGCCGACTGGTAAGGACACTCTTAGTTTAATAGCTACCGTTTTACTCTTTTTAAATTAATTATATTAATAATGTATTTATTTACTCGGTTTAATATGAGAGGCGCGGAATTCGCGAGCTGCATATGGTAATGGTAATAGTAGTAATGGTAATAGTAATAGTAATAGTAATAGTAATAGTAGTAATGGTTATTAATAGTAATAAATTCCGTTCAATTCTCATAGATCGAATTGTGAATTGTACCAATCATAGAAAAAATCGTCAAATATACTGTTAATTAAAAAAAATATTAATGAAGATGAATTGATTGGATCATTAGATCAATTTATTTGTGGCAGTTTATGGTGAACAGAAAAGAAAAAGGAAAGGAAAAGGTTAATGTACAATAAGAAAACGGAATTTGGTTGACAGATTTAGGAAATAAACAAGCTTGGATGAAAGTAAATAGTTTCAAACATTTTAGGTAATTTCATTGACTCAGGTATTATTGTGAATTATTGTTTTTTTTTTTTATTGACTTACTGGAATAATTGCAATGTCAATGCATCTCGAGGATAAGTAACTTATTTTTTTGTTTATGAATAATCCCAAATGGGAATGAGAAAACGTTTTAAGGAGGGAGGACATAATAACACTGAACCAATCATACTAATAGCTTTTGATGAAGACGTTGATGTAAATAAGATTGGATGGACACTCAATAATGCGATATATGTAACGATGACTAACAAACATCTCACGAGCGAGATCTTTACCATGTGTACTCCATTTGTCAGTACCATAATCAATTGTCCCTCATAAATATGTATGAATGTTTGTTTTTTTAAAAAAAAATATTTGGTTGGGCCCTTTAGTTATTCGTTCTTTTCGCTCTCATTGTTCAAACATTTTTTCCCCTTTGCATTCAATTAGAAAATTTTATTTTTCTTATTTTAGAAGATCATTCACTCATTCATCATCATTCATTCATTCATCATTTTTTCAAATGCATCTTTATTATTATTCATCATTCATTCAAATGCATTTGTTCCTTTATTCAATTGGTTGACTTGAAAAAATTGACCATATATATATATTAAATTTTTAATTGTTTTTATTAAATAAAAAATCTTAAAGAAAAACCATAAACATAAAAAAAAAATTTTTTTTTCCTTTGTAAAAAAAAATTTTTGAATAAAGTTAAACTATGCGAAAATTAATAAAAAGTTATTTACAAAAAATTAACCAGTAACGGTTAAAAAAAAAAAAAAAAAATCAATATGTAAAAAAATAAATTTTGTCCAATTGATGTTTAAAAAAGGAAATCCACAACCAGGTGGTTTTTTTTGATTATCTAATTTTATATATATATTTTTTTTTTTTTTTTTTAAAAATAGTTCTAATAATGCCAAAATGCCAGAGATGCCCCCGAAATAAATCACAACCCATCCCAAAAATTGTTCTAAAAATTTTTCTTTTTTTTAAATATTCCCCACTCAAAAAAAAAAAAAAAAAAAAAACTTGTAATAAAAAAAAAAGTAGTAAAAAAATTATACAGAATGATATATTATGCCTTAAATAAATGTTTTTTATAATTGAATCCAATTCATCTGATGAAAGAAATCCCAAAGTTTTGATGCTTTGTTGACATCGATTCTGAGCAATTTTTGAGCATCGGATTTTTTGAATGGTAGATCCTTTTCTGTGTACCTTCTGGCCGATGAAATTAAAGTGTGCTTGCCAGTAAGATATTGAATCGGTGTTAAACGTAAAACTGACACTACGTGTGATTCGGTAGGGTGTAAAACATTATAGTGTGGAAGATGCTCGATCTGTAACGGATGTCCCTTCCAGGTAATCGAAGGTTGTGTGTTATCGAGCACACATGTGTCAAGTTGAAGTTGATTTATCCTAAGCATTAGCTCATCGAATGATAAAGATGGTGGAGGTGGGATTCTAACCGACTTGATTTCAGCAGCCGTTATATCAGCATTGAACGAAGTTCTCAAAAGACCACGATCTGCCATCACTCGAGCCAAACTGTTTCCTTTTCCTTTGCGTTGAGACGATGACGACGATGTGCCAGAACGTTTGACTTTCTTTGACGATTTGATGGTTTGATGGTGATAGTTGTCGCTATCCTCGTCATTTAACCTTTTATTTTTGTGAGATGTTTTTCTAATCCTGTTAACATCGCTACCGTCACCGCTGCCGCCACCAAGATACATCTGTTCTTGGTTATGATCGAAATGAGATATTTCGTTGATACTTGGTAATCTATATCCGTTTGGCGATGAATTGAAGTTGTATTTATTTTGATTTTTGCAGTTATAGTAGTAGTTTTTGTTGTTGTTGCCACCAATTTGGGAAGAATAAGTGCCATTATTATTAAAGTAACTATTATTATCTTCGTTATCATTGTTGTCGTTGTCATTATCATCATTATTACCGATATCGTTATCGTTGTTAATAGTGGTGTCATTATTATCAAGGATAAAATTAATATCCATACGAGATTTTTTTGCGTCATGATTAATACCATCAATGCTAGAGTTATTGTAAGCGTAATTACTATTATGTGAATTATCATCATAGTTATAACAATCATAACTATTACCGCCACCGTTGGCAGAATACCGTAAAGGTGTGGTAGGAAAGTCATTATTATTATTAATAAAATTATTGTTTGTATGCGTGTTTGCGGTTGTGATTTCGATTACATTTTTATTTGCATTTTTATTTTTACTTGGATTTGTGTTACAATTTATGTGGTAAATAGCACTTCCGGAACTTAAGAGGTTGGTAGTGGTTGTAGTAGGCGTGATAGGAGAGATTTTATTGTTGAAGGTACTATCGGCCGGTGATGTTCCGTGGCTCATATTAGTTATTATTGATTTTAAGTTCTTGTCTGTTGTTGTTGATGATGATGATGATGTTGTTGTTGTTGTGTAGGAACGAAAAACGGTTTCATAAATATGTTGATGATGATACGGGGGGGAAGGTTGTTGTTGATGATGATGGTTTGGATTATTTTTGTTATCGATATTATCGTCATTATTATTATCATTACCGTTTCCTGAACGTGAATAATTAGAATTGATTAAATTGTTAATGATATCAGGAATTTTAAAAGAAGATTTTTTGGCACTGGTGGTGTTGGTGGTGGTAGTAGAAGATTTGGGGGAGAGTGGAGGGGACATTGGGGTAGTTGAAGATTTTTTATCAGATAAATTTTTTTGATTAGTGCAAGAATCCATGTTGAAAAAAAAAATTAAAAAATTAAAAAACGTTTATATAATTTTCTGTATTGTAAAAATATTTTGAAAAAAAAATTTATTGTTATTATATATATATATATATATATATATATATATATATTTATTTTTTTTTATATACGAAGAATTTATTATTATTATTTTCTCTCGTTCTCTTTAACTTTCGATGTTTCACTGTTTTTTTTTTTTATTTTTTTTTTTAAAAATAAAATGATCTTAAAAAAAGACAATTTTTTTTTTGAAAATT